TATATATATATATATACATATTCTATATTATTTTAAAAGGGAGTTTATGCCCAAGTTCTACTATATAATAAATATAATATATAATATTGAAGAAACTTCCTTTTAAAAATCCCACAAGTATAATATACAATATTCAAGATTGGGAAAAGTCCCAATCTTGAATATTATATATTATATTTGGGCCTAAACTCTCTTTTATAATATAGTAGAATATATTTCTACATGTATAATATGTTAGTAATTAGTATATATTGAGATCCTTTTCTGAATTTTTGAAGTCATAACACTCTATTATACGATATGAGTATATATTAGTTAAAGTTGAACAAACTATGATTTATCGATTTACCATACCACAAAATACTGAAATCAAATTTCAAAATATCGAACAAAATTAAATTGATATGATGATATAATAGTTTTAAAAATCGAATACCAAAATTATGGTACCAAAATTTCAAATACAGTACCAAACTATACCATGCCCACCCCTAACTAGACCCATGTAACTATCTCCAAATTACAGATTTAGAGACTGTTTGATATTGCTGTTGGAAGACCAAAAATATTTATTTTGAAAGAAAAGTATTTTTTTGAAAAAATAAGGTGTTTGAAAAATCAATAAAATTGCTTTTAAATAGAAGCATAAGCAGTTTTTCTGCTGTTGGGAAGAAGCTAAAAATTTCTGTTTCTTAAAAAAAGCAGAAGCAGAAACAGAAAATTATTCTTTACGGAAAAAACTTACCCGCACCGGGTGTTTACACCAAACTAATGCAATTTCCATTATTATGTGATTTAATGAAGTAAAACACATGTTAATTAATTAAGGTTAAGTAAAATGAATAATAAATTTAAACACATGGCATGCATGTATTGGATTGGTAAAAGTTTTACCCTCTACAAGACCAAAATTTCCCTTCTATATTTACATATTTCCCCATATATATTTATTAATTAATTAACATATCTCATAATTTTGGTAAGAGATTCATTTAAGAATTTTATTTTTATATAATATTCCTTTTTATTATTTTACATCTATTATCATTACTTTATATTTGATATTTTTAATTATATTTAAATCATCATATCAATATTATATCAATATTAAACTTTTTTTTTTATATATGTATAATATTGATTGAAAAATTGAATATGTACATTTTAATTCAATAAAAATAAAAGTTTGATTACTTTTTTTTTAATAGATATTTAAAATAATTTCTATATATAAAATAATCTTCATATTAAAAGTACTTTGATGCTTGTCCTTTTTTTTTTTGTAATTTGACACTTAAAAGCACTTTTTAAAAAAGTTTAGCCAAACACAATTTACTTATCAAAAACATTTTTCAAATGAATCAGCCAAAAACACTTTTCTGAAAAGCTATTTTTAAAAAGTGCTTTTAAAAATAAGCAGATTTTAGCAGCAATTCCAAGCAGGCTCTAAGTTTAGACTAGCTTGAGGTTAACTTAAATTTGGCCAGGTAACTAAATTTGTTTAATCATGTAATTAATACTTATTAGTGGTACTTATTTTTTTACCATGTAATTAGTTAAGGGGATAAATAATACGAAAACAAAAGAAGAGTCAAATGGCTCATAGAACCGTTACATACGTTTAGTTGTGTTTCCAATGTGTTATCCACAGTAAAATCATATTTACAAAGAATCCAAAAAAGAAGTTAAGAGGCTCTGATTGCTTCTTTTTAAAATAAATTTCACTTTCTATTTTCAAAAGAGGCAAATTAAAATTAATATATGATGGCTTGTGCAGTTTTTTGTGTTTGCATTAATTCTACTAAGAAGCAACCATGGATATTCCAAGTCCTACCAAGCTTAAGGTTTGTTTCATACTTTGTTACTTTTAATTTTATTCTGTTATGGCAAATTGAAGGAGTCATTTGTTGTGGCAGAAATTATAATGTATATATTTTTCAGGGGAAATTTGTAGGTATTCTTGTTTGTTGGATTCTTGGATTTGGATCACTCATTGCTTGGAATAGTTTAATGAGCATAGGAGATTACTACTATGCACTGTTTCCAGTAAGTCTCCATTTGCAATAGAAAATATTCACAACTTCTAAAGTTTTTATTTTCTCATTTTATTCGGTTATGTTTGAGATTGAGGCGTAGTATCTGACTGATTTGTTTTGGTATGAAAATTGAAGAATTATCATCCTTCAAGAGTACTCACCTTAGTGTATCAGCCATTTGCACTTGGAACAATAGTAATTCTTGCATATAATGAGGCAAAAGTTGATACAAGAAAGCGCATCTTAGTAGGATATACCCTGTATACCTTAAGCACACTCACACTCATTCTGGTATGTTCTGATTTTTTCATTTTCTGATCAATATTCTGTTCGCCTTTTCAGAATCTGTGTTTTTTTTTTTTTTTTTTTTACTTTTTTGCAGTTGGATTTGGCATCTTCTGGTAGGGGTGGAATAGGAAATTACATTGGTGTATGTGCCATAGTAGGTTGTTTTGGAATTGGGGATGCTATTGTTCAAGGTGGAATGACTGGAGATTTATCATTCATGTGTCCTGAGTTCATTCAAGTGAGTGGCGGTAACACGAGTAACTTTGTTCTGCCTCAATTGATACATGAAATCCTGAATTATGTGTGTATACTGATTCATGAATTATGCAGTCGTTTTTCGCTGGTCTTGCTGCATCTGGTGCAGTTACGTCTGGTTTAAGGCTAATGGCCAAGGCAGCTTTTGAAAACAGTAACAACGGTTTACGCAAAGGAGTTAGTACGTAATTTTGATCTCATTGTGAAAACAGTATGCTTGATGTACTCCTAGTTTGATGTGTCTTTGATATAATATGTTGAGAGAAACTTATAGAGTTATTGATTTTGCAGTGTTGTTCCTTGCCATCTCCGTATTCTTTGAATTCCTATGCATCCTTCTATATGCATTCATATTCCCTAAGCTACCAATTGTGAAGCACTACCGCACAAAGGCAGCTCTAGAAGGATCAACAACTGTTGCAGCAGACTTAGCTGCTGCAGGCATCGAAACTCAATCAATCGAAAAAGTAGGCTACTGAACTGTTATAAGTGATTTTCATAATCATAAACTTGATATGTTTCTGTTTACTGAACAGGCTAATAATGATGCTAAACAATCGGAACGTCTTAGCACCAAACAACTATTTTTCCAGAATATTGACTATGAGTTGGACCTGTACTTGATTTATGTCGCCACGTTATCAATTTTCCCCGGGTTCTTGTATGAAAACACTGGTACCCACACATTGGGGTCATGGTAAGTGTGCATACCTTTTCTCTGAATAAATCGTTATTGCTATAACTTTATTTGCAGTACCTCTTGAATTTCTTTTTCAAACTGTCAGGTATGCTCTAGTTCTGATAGCAATGTACAATGTTTGGGATCTGATAGGAAGATATGTTCCACTGATTGATAAAATCAAGTTGAAATCACGAAAGGGCCTCATGATCGCGACCCTCTCTCGTTTCTTACTGGTCCCTTGCTTCTACTTCACTGCAAAATATGGTGATCAAGGTTGGATGATATTTCTGGTATCCTTCTTGGGACTCACAAATGGTCATCTCACTGTTTGTGTCATGACAGCTGCACCTAAAGGATACAAGGTTGGTGAAGTTTTAATTTCAGAATCCATACAGATTTTCATTTTATAATATCACATCATATTATAACTGTTTGTTGAAATTTGAATTTTGTAGGGGCCTGAGCAAAATGCATTGGGTAATTTGCTAGTATTATTCATATTATGTGGAATATGTTCTGGTGTTGCTTTAGATTGGTTGTGGATTATTGGTAATGGAAAATTCTGAGATGTTATGTGACAGAACAATAACTAACATCAAATTTAAACATATGTAATTCTGGCTTTAGAAGTTGTAATCAGAAAATTGTGAAGTTAAATTCATCCAGAGGAGAAAAAAGAAAGGATTGTCTTGTTCAAGTTTTGAAGTACATTTAGTCTCTCCTTTGCCTTTTTTTGGTTCATCAAATATGTGAATATGATCAAAGTTGTCATTCAAATTGTAGACTCTGGCATGGCCAAATAAGTAAAAGTTTTAGACCTCACTCTTATGAGACATTTGGGCTTGTTGTTTTTCTTGAAAGGGTTGTCATATTTGGGGACAAAATTGGGCTTACAACCAAAGTAATGTTCATTTTCAAGTAGGTAACTACATGGAGTAGCAAGGCCCTATACATACTCCATATATAGCGACAGTTCGTAGTTTTATAGGAGATACAAGCATGTAGATATAATTAGACAGAGATGTTGTATACATGCGATTACAATTGTTAAGTGTGTAGATACAATGTCTTTTGGTTAATACTTACATATGTGAATACAATGTATTCCCACTACTTAGATATGGTATACGCACAAATACACTTGTTATGCGCAAGAATGCAATGTATTTCACATTATGCGTGCAGGTACAATGTATTTCACTATTATTATACACACAATTATAATAAATTCCACCACATCATAAAACCAAAATACTATTAGTATTTACGTCAATTAAGGAAAAGATCGCTATTTTTTTCTTTAAATCTAGGCACAAATAGAGTTATTTACTGAATTTCTCTAATTTGTTTTTAAGTAACTGGACAATGAAATTGAGGATGTGTTTGTTGGTCAAAATTTTTGGATTTTTTTTTTAGGAAAATAAGTTTCTTAAAAAATGAGGACAATAGTTTTCTTAGTGGAAATAGGGAAAGCAAGTTCCACAAGTGACATTCTACATTAATTGTACATTCTCCCCACCCATTTTTAGGCTACAAATTCTTATTATTCAGGAGTTCGAATTTTTGACAGAAATAACCCATCATGTAAAACATTTTTATCAAATTAGTACATTTTTTTGAAATTTTACCAAAATAGATTAAACGTATTTGTTAGTAACGTTTTATAAATTATTATATTAAAAAATTTCAATGGACAAAACTAACGGCAAACAAATTTAACGGAAGTATAAAACGTTACCCATGATAACGATTTAATCATAAAACGTTACCATGAGTAACGATTTTCTGGTACAACCAAGAGTTTAATCAATCTCTCGCGTAAATCTTCATTCATCTCCTCTTTCCTTCATCCTAATTCTACAACACCGCATCTTTTCAGTTTTACCAAAAAAGTTCAAAAATTCATTTTTCATAATATCATAATAATATTTGAATCTCATGTTTTCAAATTCAATACATATTTACAGAAAAACACATTTTCAAAATGTTAACGCGACCTCAAATTTCAACAGCATTCAACCAAAAATATAATACCAACCTTTAAAATAAAAATGAAAAAATAAATCGTATTACACAGTAAATCAAAATTACAAATCACAAAATTTTGATGATATGTTAACAATCAGCAATTGCAAAAATTAAAATACAATAGAATAGAAGAAAAAATAATTTAAATCACGAAACTTCATTCGGAGTTGGGCATTTTTGAAAAGTCCCAACATCAATTTTATATTTAGAAAGAAAGAAAGAAAGAATAGATTTAAACCTTGCACTAATAAATTAATAACTCATGAGAAAGGGGATCACTCTTCAAGGAAATTCTTAAATTGCATCAATTTTTTCAGTTGTTTCATGGATTCGTTGCCAGTACGTAAGTTGCAACTGAAATTTGAGAAATTGAAATATCTCAGTTTTTAAATAATAAGATCTCACACAAATTATGATTTTGATGTAGCAGAGGTGGTGAAATTAGAAATGAAGGATTGCCGGAATGACATTTTTCCGGTCTCAGAGCCCTAAAACTTATTCCCCTGTTGCCCCCCAAAGATTGAAAGGACACTTGTCTATTTATCGTTAATTAAAACGTTACTCTGAAATACGTATTATCTGTATGTCGTAACTGTTGATCACATAATACTTCTTTTAACGCCGTTTATAGCTAAATATTGTTTGCTGATTCTTTAAAATAATTTTTTTATAAAACATTACTTAGAAGTACGTTTATTCTATTTTGGTAAAATTTCAAAAAATTATACTACTTTTGTTAAATACTTTAAATAATGGATTAGTTAGGTCAAAGCTTCCGGGAGTTCATGTGACCCATTTTTTGGTTACAAATTCGTCTTTGCTTACAAGTTTAGGTTTAAATGATAAAATATACAAAGGTTACTTCTTCTCTAGTTGTAATTTTTTCTCGTTCAAAGTAGTAATTTATTTTATATAATAATTGTTGCAGTTCCATTATTACAACTATTTCCCCAGGTGTGGTGGTGTTAAATTGAGGATTAAAAACATAAGAATTATAATAGTGACAGTAACAACAACATGACCCACAAGACAACAATATATAAACATTAATACTAGTAGTATTAATTTACGAAGAAATTTTCTATTACGTATATATCTTACCCAAACTTCGAGTAAGTTGTATAAATGTTGAATTGGCAAAATAGGATGGAGTAAATTTTTTAAAACAAATATACGGGTCTGCCCCTCTATCCTTCTCCACTTAAATATCAGACTTTTGTCTTGAGTAGGATTCAAACTCGTGACTTGTACCTAACCCACACATCATGCATTGCAGTCTTACCACTGAATAAAAGTCGGGGGATGGTGGAGTAAGTTAAACTTTAATTTGATGGATATGTAATACTAGAGTATAAGGCAAATGCAAAATAGGAAGGCTCTAGTACTACTGAAGGGGTTTTCAACAACTATATATGAGGCCAAATTCTCCTAATCATTGTTAGCTGATTTTATTGGTAATGAAAGGTTTGTAAAAATCGTAAAATTAAAAATATTTTGTTTTTCATTTTAGATATGCTAGATCATGAATTATCAAAACTGCAACCTATTATATAGTACTGCTGATTTGTTGGTATCTCCACAAATAGGCCTCAACTTAACTTAATTAGTGCTGATAAATTAAAAGATAAAGTCTAACTTGATATAGCATACCAAAAAAAAGTCTCCTCCTCATTAGCATTTTTGGTTCCAACTTGTCGAAAAATAACTGAAATGAAAAACTTTATTTTTTTTCCTCTAAAAAGAATTTTTCTTTTCTTTATTTAACAAATACAGTTTTTATCAATCAAATCAATAATAAATAGTGACAATAATTTGTAGGTGATATATAAATACTTAATTTCATAAGAATACTCCAAGTCCGTTAGCTATATTATCTCGCAACAAAAACTTTAAGGATGTTACAGCTAGCGTATACGTATATGCATCTTTGTCATATGTTATGCTTTTAAATATTTGAACTCAAGAGTTGCATGGTAACACATATTCTTACATAAAAGCAATTTCTGGTATAGATATTGATATTTGTCCGACTTTTATGGCAAGAGAAGTAAAGTTGGACACATTATATATATATAATTTTACTTTTTTACGGAGGGTATCATGTCAATTTTCATAGTTAATTTCTTGTATACAACAGTTAAATCTATATTATTCTTTCTAATTTTATGTAACGAAAACCAGCAATTAACGAAAAATTACAAAGAAAGTGATTAATATTTTGAGAAGTTTAAAACAGATATTAATTCTGAACCTATAACTTCAGTACTACAATGAATTTAGTACTATTGATGATTTTGAAGTTCGAATTCATCAAATTTAAATTATGAATACGCGTCTGGAATAAACTCGAGTGCAGGCTGATGAAGTCTCATGAGGTTGATTTTCTGTTTTTGGATTTGTGAAAGGTTTCACAGAGTTTCTTAAAAATGAGAAAAATGACTTCATTAATCAAAGTTAGAAAAACAAGCTCCACAAGTACTAGTTACGATCCAAGTTTATTGTCTCTTCCCTACTCACCCAACAACTCCAACTCCCATCCTTGACTATCCCATCCCTGCCACCCTCGAACCCTCTCATCTCACCTCCACAATGTTTTGCTAGATCACATATAAATATTTTTGAGATATATAGTATTTTTTACTTACGTACCAAACACTAAAAAATAAGTAAGAAATCTACTTGTTTTTCGAGTAAAATATTTTTCTAGGAAAACATTTTCCTTCCTACCAAACACACTCTTCTTGTATCAAAATTCTTATTTAATACATTTTGATTAGTATGAAAATGTATCTTTCATGAGAATGCAAATTTTTAGGTAGCTACCGCTTCCAAACATGGACGGAGTGCGGACATAGGCTTTAAGATATAGTTTTGATAGAACTTATTACTCCGTAAATTTGACATAAACACTGTATATATGTGTTAGGAAATTCACTAAATATGTACACAAATTAAATTTAAGACTCAGTATTAACATTTTTCTCTTTCGTAGCGCCACACAATCAGAGGCGAAGCCAGCCTTCTATTAGGGGGTTCATCTGAACCCTCTTCGATGGAAAATATTACTATTTATACATGGTTAAAATCATTTTTTTATGTATATATAATAGATGTCAAACCCCCTTCGATTAGTTCGTGTTTAGTTTTTCAGATATTGAACCCCTTATTAAAATTTCTAACTCCGCTATTGCACACAATGAACATAGTAGTGTCATACGAGATTACTAACGGACAGTCAAAAAACGATACGACTCAAGACCGAGCTCTATTTGGTTGAGATTCACCTTAGAACTCAAGCAACCAGGAGCTATATGCATATGCTATTTGAGTCAATTATGCTGTTTGGTTGTCAGGCTAGTGACTGTTGAATGTAAGGGGAGGGCACAAAATAATTAAAGTACAACTTTCATTTATTGTCTAAATAAATTAAATCCACTATAGAAAGCAACTGTTACTTGTTTCCATGAAATTTTTATAGATATATGTCATCAATAGTGCAACCAATTTTGAATATGTTGTTTCATTCATCATCTCAACT